GTTCACATTACATAGTGACAAATGTTGCAACTGTGGAATGAAGGTGTCACTCTGCTTGTTCTCTCCGTTTCAGTTAAGTCCTATAAGTCAGTTACCTCAGACTCCTGTCATGTAATTATTAAACAACGATAGCTAAACATATATGTGGTACTGCCTGTCCATTGTATGGAAGAAGCTGTTAGGAATGTAAGCTACATTACAATGTGTCTCATTGGGAGCCTTAAAACTTCTCTGTCGCCATTGTTTTTTTTAAAACACTGGGTCACATAGTGGTAGAATAAAGCAGGAGTGTCATTTATACAGTGGGTACGGAAAGTATTCAGACCCCCTTAAATTTTTCACTCTTTGTTATATTGCAGCCATATGCTAAAATCATTTAAGTTCATTTTTTTCCTCATTAATGTACACACAGCACCCCATATTGACAGAAAAACACAGAATTTTTGACATTTTTGCAGATTTATTAAAAAAGAAAAACTGAAATATCACATGGTCATAAGTATTCAGACCCTTTGCTCAGTATTTAGTAGAAGCACCCCTTTGAGCTAATACAGCCATGAGTCTTTTTAGGAATGATGCAACAAGTTTTTCACACCTGCATTTGGGGATACTCTGCCATTCCTCCTTGCAGATCCTCTCCAGTTCTGTCAGGTTGGATGGTAAACATTGGTTGACATTTTCAGGTCTCTCCAGAGATGCTAAATTGGGTTTAAGCCAGGGCTCTGGCTGGGCCATTCAAGAACAGTCACGGAGTTGTTGGGAAGCCACTCCGTTATTTTAGCTGTGTGCTTAGGGCCATTGTCTTGTTGGAAGGTGAACCTTCGGCCCAGTCATGTCCTGAGCACTCTGGAGAAGGTTTTCGTCCAAGATATCCCTGTACTTGGCCGCATTCACCCTTCCCTCGATTGCAACCAGTCGTCCTGTCCCTGCAGCACCCCCATAGCATGATGCTGCCACCACCATGCTTCACTGTTGGGACTGTATTGGACAGGTGATGAGCAGTGCATGGTTTTCTCCACACATAACGCTTAGAATTAAGGCCAAAAAGTTCTATCTTGGTCTCATCAGACCAGAGAATCTTATTTCTCAACATCCTGGAGTCCTTAAAGTGTTTTTTAGCAAACTCCATGCGGACTTTCATGTGTCTTGCCCTGAGGAGAGGCTTCCGTCAGGCCACTCTGCCATAAAGCCCCGACTGGTGGAGGGCTGCAGTGATGGTTGACTTTCTACAACTTTCTCCCATCTCCCGACTGCATCTCTGGAGCTCAGCCACAGTCATCTTTGGGTTCTTCTGTACCTCTCTCACCAAGGCTCTTCTCCCCCGATAGCTCAGTTTGGCCGGACGGCCAGCTCTAGGAAGGGTTCTGGTCGTCCCAAACGTCTTCCATTGAAGGATTATGGAGGCCACTGTGCTCTTAGGAACCTTAAGTGCAGCAGAAATGTTTTTGTAACCTTGGCCAGATCTGTGCCTTGCCACAATTCTGTCTCTGAGCTCTTCAGGCAGTTCCTTTGACCTCATGATTCTCATTTGCTCTGACATGCACTGTGAGCTGAAGGGTCTTATATAGACAGGTGTGTGGCTTTCCTAATCACATCCAATCAAACACAGCTGGACTCAAATGAAGGTGTAGAACTGAGGAAAAAAATGAACTTAAATGATTTTAGCATATGGCTGCAATATAACAAAGAGTGAAAAATTTAAGGGGGTCTGAATACTTTCCGTACCCACTGTAGCTAGTTAATTCTGCCATCAGAAATACGGCTCCTGAGAGATGTTATTAGCTTTAGTTACTGTAGCTAGCTAATTAAACTACCACTGGCTCCATGAAATGGATGAAAATACTGTCTCTGACTGACTTTTTGCTTCCAACAATTTCATTATGATTAGAGAATCTGGATCATGATAACTATGCATTGGATGTCAACAGATGTGATACAGCATGGCAAAAAGTCAGCATCCTCACCATCAAGATAGAGAGAACATGTTTTTCTATTTCAGTGCAGAGATAATTATTTACATTGTCATATTACCAAGACAAATGTACCGTGTGTCCAGACTCTAATTTCACACTAACGTTATAAGAGAAAAGATCTTCAGGATGAGAGTTAACATCTGTTTGATAACATTACATAACAATGAGTTAAGGTGGGGTACTGAATTGTAAACCTCTCAAAATACAATACAGATCAGGTTTTCAGTTTGGCCAACCCACCACACACCTGCACAGTTCAGCATCCGAATCAACCCCTCAGCGGCATTTACCTTTAAATTAATTCTGAGCCCAGACTGGCCTGACATGTTAGTATATTATAAGCAATAGGCAAGAAAAAATACTTGCAAAAAAAGCAGGAGAACTACTGACAGTAGTGTAGATTTTTATTCCATAATGTTCTGGTGCCAATGTGCCTTCCTTAGAATTTAAAATACAAAGCTGATTACAACCTATATAAAGCCTCCGGGGCAACCTGGAGTACAAGACAATATATGCATGTCAAAAAACAATTCAAATAACATCTTCCAAAAATGTTTCTGATATGCAAAGTGTTAACTTATGGAATATAGTCTGACATTAAACACAAAAAAGTCTATTTTGTTTGATATAAAAGAAAGACAAGACAAACTAGGGTCCTTGGTGTTAAGGGATTCAAGACAACCCAAGAAACGCAAGATACACAGCATGGTGTGCGACATGGACTTGAAAGTAAAATTTTACTACACACTTTACACTTTAAAAAAAATCTAGACTTACTTCTGTAGGTAGTTAGCTAGCTAGCATGCTACATGCTAGCTTACATTACAGTATTAAAATTAATTTTTTGATTTATTCTTGATGCTTTTGTTCTTGTAGTTTTAGTTTTGAAAAGGCTAAAAACTTGCACCACTCTCCAACTTGTTATATCGTTGTATCGGGAGCGGCAATACAGTAAACAGTCACTTACAGCTAAGGACTTGGTGTCAGTGTAGATTTGTGATGGTAACTCTTCAGGTTAGTTTAAAGGTGATGGCAATGGTGTAATGTTTGAGTCTCCTTATTTTTCAATCATCTTGTGGGATTGTTTCCAGCATCTAATAAATGAATTTCTGTCTCAGCTTGTATTAGTAAAGGTAAAAAAAAAAATAACCCTAACCAAGACAGGGGTAGAGAGATCGATTGTGTGTTGTTGTTTTTTTGTATTCCTATAGTGTCTTCGTGTAAAAAGATATTAGAGAGAATTGTTCATTGCAAAAGTGGTGCACTCTTGAAGCCATCGGCCATTAATCACCTATTCCTACATTAATTATTAAACCAGATGAATCCTCTTTGTAATATACACTCTCTTTTTCCAGATGCAGGAGGAAAACTCCTCCATCATTGTCTAAGAAAATGACATTCAGTAGTATCATAATCCAAGATCCACCGTTTGCCAGATTATTAAAAATTGGTGTCATTATTATGTTGGGAGTTGGGATGGCATTGTATGAATAGGAGTTTGTCGTTTGATGGGTTGTCGACGAAATATTCAGTTTTCAGTTGCATGCTGATATATAAGGTACATATACATAGGTGTATGCATCTCTGAGTGTGTGTGTGTGTGTGTGTGTGTATGTGTATGTGAACCAGGGCTGTGTACGTGTGAGAGGACAGGGGAGGAAAAAGTATCAGTGTGAGAACAAAAAGAAACTCCACATGTGCAAGTCTCTTAATGAAATGGAGGGACAAAGTGTGCTAAAAAATATTTCTCATCAGAGCACCATGGTGGTGATTCTCTTCCATTTTGCTGAGTATCTCTTACATCAGTCAGCTACTTAAAGCAGAAATGCAACACTCTCACTGCAAGGAGAGCCAGAGTTGGGTTCCTGAAAAGCCTGAGAGCACAGAGGACAGGCCTATTTTTTTTTCTTGCTTGAAATGGACTTAATGCTTGGGCTGCTCACCTCTTTGTCTCAGCAGCAGCTACTAAAGGAAGACATGCTAAACAGTTTATTCCTAAAATATTATGATGTTTTTTGCAATTCTTGTTCACAAACCACTCAGATTATGAGGTTGTGAACAAAATTATTTAAATTATTCCCCATGCAGCATAATATTATTCCACTACAATGTACATGCTTTACATTAATCTCTCCCATGGAGCATATTAACCTTGTGGGTTGCCCTATTGCAAATAGCACCACATAACCCCACCCGCTTTCCTTCATTAAACAAATAATAACAAACAAATAGGTTGCATATGCCACAGCTGTTCAGTATAATGTCAGCATCAATGTCAGCTGACCATTGGCTTCTCTCTGAAGCACTGTGCAGCAGTAGATTATTCTGACGCCATGAAGAAATTAGGCTCAGCCTTATTTTAACATTAAACTTAATATAATTATAAACTGCTCACCTGACAGAAGCCTAACCCTTAAGATGTTAACAAGCAGCCCAAACTGTTGTGACAACACAAGTCACAAAAAAAGAGTCCTTGCAACCTCCATAGTATCATTTTCTTGAAGATGACTGAAGGGTGTTTGAGATAACATAAAAAATGACAAGTCTGTAAAGTTTTACTGGGCTGTCGGTCATTTTGAAGAAATTAAACGGTTATGTTTTTGCCTTTAAACACTAATCTTCTTTCTTGGAAGCCAGCTGTTAACTCCCTCCTGCTTCATACATGATATCGTGAACCCCTTAGACCCATGTCAAGCTCTTATTGTTCCACGGGGACTCATATTTAGTCTGTGGCACTCAACCTTATCTTACTCTACAGTATATGTCACATACTGTATTGTCCTGTGCTGTTACTAAAACGATCGGTACTTAAACGGTATCATACTTTGTTCCATCTCTTGGGTAGAGTTGATTATTTCAGGATTTTCTATTTGTTAAAATAGAAGGGTTACATTTCCCAATATTTTGTATCGCTTGGACTATTATGTAATGCTATACATTCTGCGCCCTAAGATCGGCGCGTAATGGTAACAAACACGCATGGCTCCGCGCAGAGGTTATTAGAATAGAAAAGACCGTTAAACTTACCACGTTTTTCCTCGTTCGGTGACTTTTTCTCTTCTTTATCTCTGACAAACGCAAAGCACAAAAGCATGCAGTGAATCCTTGCAGCGGTGTTCTTCATTTACGCACGTCCAGTATAAACACATCAGAACTGAAGACCCTGCTGCCGTAGGTTACCTAGACCGCTCCACAGTCTGCTTGTTTAAGAGGTAGAGCGTGTGTCTGCATATAAACACAATAAACTCGGTCCTATGCGGAGCGTTTAAACCCGGTATTCTCAGTCGTTCCGCACACTTAAGCGACTCAAGTTTAATTCCTTTTTATCTCTAAAGGACTTTATAACAGCCGCTTGCTTTTCTCCAGGGTTCAATCACAAGAGTGTGTGGAAAGTGTTGTTACTGCGGAGCTCCATCTGATGCATCAATACGCAGCGCATTGTGGGTTGTCTCCAACAGCAATTAACCCCCCCGGGGAGACACACTTGGTTTCACGGCGTTGACACAATATACTGTGCTTCGGGAAAGATTTGAGAGACGTCAACAAGTTGCAGTCAGTCAACGTTTCTGAGAAGTTTAGATAGCACTGCATGGCAGAGGACACTTTACGCACACTGCAAATCAGTTTGCGCGCTACCGCAGGCGTGTGTTTCCAGCTCATTTCTATTTCTTTGCCCTCATAGGCCAGAGGAGCTTAAGATCTGGTGCAGGAACCAGCCTCAGGAGCCCCTTGTGGTCCCGCAGAAAAATGATAGGTTAAGTCACTTGCAACAATCAATAGCCTAATAGTTTTTCAAATATTAAAATGCCAATTGAGATTGGATGAGACTTGTAAAAAAAAAAAAAGACAAATTTAGGGTTTATAACTTATCATTATGCCTTTGTGCTGGAGATAGTCGTGGCCCAAGACATTATGTTTTCAGGTTGTCTGTTACAGCCTAGGGCAACCAGGCACAGAGTTGGACTCTTTATTAGACACAGAGTACAGGAATCAGAGTTACTGGCTCAGGCTGAGGAGGTCGAACCACAAGGAGGCCTGATGTCCCCGAAGGAGGGGGCAGGTGCTGGTGGGGCATCAGAACTGAGAGGACTGGAAGCTGGTAGCTGGTTCTGGAAGGGCGGCTGGGCCTGGGTTCTGGGCAGGTGGTTCCAGAGTGTAGACTGAGGGCAGAACAAAATGTCAAGCAGGATTGTCTGGAGAGTGCTGGGCAGGCGGAGAGGAAGCTAGTCAGAGCACCGGAGCCAGGTAGGGTGACAAGGAGAGGGAACCCGGGAAGTGGAGGAGGTGAGTGCCGGGCAGTCTGGATGTAAGGTCTGGTGAAGCCCATGAGAAGAAGGGCTGTGTCGAGAAGCGTTGGGAATCTGGGGTGAATCGTGTCGAGCTGGCTCGAGTTGGTAGGTGTGGCATTTTGTTGAAAATCATTATTCCCTCGTAGATTCCCTTTAGTTAGGGACTCACATATTTGTTGCTGGAATGTGGAGTTTATTGAACAGTTCCAACATCCATCGTTGACCTACTGATCTAGGTAGTAGCTCTGTTTCTGTTTCTATTTCCCATTCCTCCCCCACAGGCCAGGGTGGTGTCGGGTAGGCTGAGGTGCTGGAGTTTTACAGTGTTTCAAACTAACATCATAGATCGAAGCAGAGAAATGCATAAAACCTTCAAGCTGATAGAATTTGTTCTGCTCCCCATTGGCTATTTGCCAGTTAGTAATAAACTCTTAAGTTTCCAAGAGTTGAGGGAACAACCTGCAGAGAGAAATCCTTAAAAATGTCATGGACAAGCTCATTTCTTCTTAAAACACACTGCACGGATATTTGCTGAGATTCTGCAGAGGTGGCAATAATGAGCAGTCACAAAAACGAAGCAGCTGCCATAAAGAAACAATTTTGACCCCTGGGGAAGCTTCTGTTTGGATGGATAGAGGGACTGGAGGAGGCACAAGTTTAATGCAGAAATTGCACAGCCAGAGAGCCCACGCACTCTGGAGTAGCCTTCACGACGTCGACTGTGACAGCTTCCTCTGTAAAATATGGCTGAAACTGAGGACTGGGCATTGCACTTTGAATATCAAAGTTTAAGTACAGGTCTCCAAAGTAAACTGCTAAACCAAAGACACCAGCTTAGACCTGAGGGGGAAATGGAAGCCTCGCAAATATTGTCATAATACCTTTAGGGAGCATGCAGTGTTCAGCACAAACCCAGTTTAACAATTGTGCAATTCAGGCTGTTAGTGACAATATGGTTAAATGTGTCTGTTAGCAGTGTCACTTCCTTGAAACTGATATTCTCCTCCTAACTACATCACCAGCCTGTCTGGCATCCTTTGGATATCAGGGGATTAAACTCGAGATTTTTTTAAAAAGCTCTACTTTGAATTGAGGATAAAGTGTCTTTATTTTACACGAGTTGTATTAATTCGCAGAAAGAGTCTTGTTAGTTTGCTAAATACTTTGAACTGCTGTTTCTCTCCCTTCTCCTGTATCTTTTATCTTTAATTGAATCAATACCAGCTCCTTGGAAGCTATTGTACCCAGCAGGTTCTTCAAGCGTAAAAAATAAATAGATAGATAAATAAATAAATAAATGTTAATAAAGAAGTCGAGCACATCGCTTGCACACATGTATGCACATGCATATATGCACGGCATTGTAAGAGAAAATCAAAAGTGTTGAGCTTTAAATGGACGGTTTTGTCTTTGATCCCATCATTTCAGTTCTGGGGAAAGTAAGTGAACACTCGGGGATGTAATACAGTGAAGGCTTGTTTTCTGGTTCAGCCCTTTGATACACTTCTCTCTAACTGGGGGGTCAAAAGTGTGTCTGCGTCAAGTTCTTTAGACAGCTGTGGTATGTTCTTTTATGTTTCAGTGGCTAATGAATTAATGAGACTTCCTTCCCCCATTATTATTTTTTTTTATCTCCAAGAGCACAGTGAAGGTCATGTGAAGTTTGAAAAGTTTTTCTCAGCAGAGTGAGGAGGTCAGCTGGAGATTCTTGCAACACTAATATGATATGAAAAGGCAACTATTAACCTCACATTCAGATTGGTTCTCTTCTTTTCTCCAGTACCAGACCACCATTGATTCTGTGAACAGGTAAGTCAAATTCAGAAATGTTAGTTTATGTAGAATACAATACCTGTACAATTGTATGCACTTCTATGCAACACCCTTGCCTTAACATCTGTGTTTATGAAGCTCACAAAGTTTCATTTTTTGGTGAAATTGTCATTAATGTACAAATTCAGTGATGTGATTATTATTGAGGTCACAGTTAAGGTGTTCCTAATAGTTTGACCCTCACATGTATATAGCTGTGGAGGACAAAAACATGGAAATACCTCTAAATATAATGAAACCGATTTTCAGATATTTTTAATCTATATGTTTGCTTTGATAAGATGATTAGTTGCATTTTGTGCTGTATCTGGAAACAGCTGTTTGTGAACATGATTGTGTTCAGTCCTTTAGCCTTCACCTCTTTATTACCCACATGTAAACATATTCACACAAATAGACTTTGTAACTTTACCAGCTTGAGCCTTTTGTCATAGCAGCAGCATTCAGTCAGTAGCTCAGTGACAGTTGAACAACCATTGAGTAGTTTTTTATGAAATAATAAAAATCCATCTGTTTGATTCCAGATGTCCTAAAGACTTGTGCCGTGATGAAGGCAATCAGAGACAAACTGTGCATGTCCTGACATCAATACACCTACAGTAAATGGAGTGTGGTTTCTCTGGGACCACAGGCATGCATGGCGGGATCCCTTACTAATGGCCAGTCACTAATGAGTTTTCTTTTGTCGAATGGATTACATATTATTGTGCTGGCCGGGGCGAGAGCCAGAGTTAATTATTTGGTCCAAAATGTTCTGATTTTAAGTGTAGCTACTACACTAAAGGGAATGACTGCAGGTCCCTTATTTCACTGAACTCTGACATTCAGTTTGTGTGGATTGCAGCACCTATTATGGAAATTAAAGTGGCTTAAAATTATCTAGATTGCATTTTAGGGTCTACTGACACCTGTGTGTGCTAGAAACTTTCCACTCTAAGTTATGCATAAGTCTAAACCCCACTGGGATTCTTAACCCCTCACTTTGCCACAGGATAATGTTGTTTCCACATGGCTCGTCTGTCCAATGCAGTTAATGCTGCTGAGTCCATGCACTCGGTCACATACCGATACATATGAACGCCTGCACTCACACACACACTAGACTTAATGTGGCCCCTGCTTTTTGCAGCCGAGTTGTTTAGTGGAAATGATAGAATTGGGATCAGCTCGTTAATCCTTAGCTGCCACCGAAAACTCCTGAAATTTGGCACCTTGTCCAAGGTCTGTCAGTTCAAATTCCACCAAGCAGACCGGATCTCTGCTGACTAGACAGGGGACTGATGTTAGCACGGCGGGGGGAATGTGTTGCGGGACTGAACTGAAATCCTTGTGAGGGACTGTGAGGCAGAAAGCTGCAGGGACTGTGTATTGTGCCTGTGCTGTAGTTGTTGACTTTTTTTTTTTTTTTATCTCAGCACAAAAACAAAGCTGCTTCAAAACATATCAGCTTCAACATACCAAGTACACTTCCTGTCAAACCATTTAACTACTTGCTTGAAATCCTTTTATGAATATTAGATAGCATCAGGAGTTAACCGCAAACATAAGAGCAAAAGTATGAGGAATGGACAAAACAGTGTTTATCTGCTCTAAAATGAGTTGCAGATGTTGACAGCATGTGCTAACTTGAACATTAGTCATCAGTTACCCACTGTATTTACATAAATCCATTTTAAATATCCATTAAAAATAAAGCCAACACTAATCATAATATTCTTCAAGCCGCTATTGTGACATCAGTATGCATCTAAATCCAATAAATTTTTAAATTCCTTGGCTGAAGGATCAGAGAGGATTTCACGCTGTAGTAAATTGCCTATTTTGAGAACAAAATAAAACAAAGTTAAGTTTAATTTGACTTTAGTTCAACAAAACAAAGTAGTAGTTGTTGTTTAACTGGACATAGTGATTGGTCCTAGAGGCTAATTTATAGCTTTCATTCATTCTTTCTTCTGGCTGTTGATTGGTTGACTGAACATGCTGCTGCCACAGCCACATTAGAGCACATTCTTTGAGAAATATTAGCAACTCTCCTCAAAGGAAGTGAGTTCAAGTTTGCCCATAAAGTCACTAAATTGGTCGCTAGTTGCTTTTATGAAAAAAACAAAACAAAAAACAAAACAAATATCTCTTTAAGTTGGCAACCCTGGTCACCTCTCAGCACTTCTCAAATGAAATGATGTGATCAGAAGTGCAGCTCAACAACTCCGCACTTGTGTTGACTTCACACAAATATGAAATGATGCAAATGTTCCCCCACACAAACTTTCACTGGGTTAAATAGAACATTACTATGACAAACAGTACAACAAGAAATAAGTATAAGGAAAATGATAAGGCACCCATTTGTATTCTGGGAGGGA